TTCATTTTTAGTGCTGTCCAAAATAATTTAAAAACCCCCAAAAACAAAAGCGGGGGGGGGGGGGGGGGAGTTTCAGGAAAAATGGAGAAATGGGTTGTTCTGCCCCCCCCAAACATCTCCCCTCCCGCCAAACCTTCACATCTCCAGGAGCAGATCAAAAATTGATCTCTTATGATGCAGCCAGAACTTTGCTTTTAGGTGGTGGGGAAGAACCCCACAGTGAGCATTTTCCTCCCTCTCCCCAAATAGTCAGTGAAGCTGATGGGCAGTAGGTTCAGGACAGACAAAAGGAAATACTTCTTTACACAGCAGCGGAATGGGCTGCCTCGGGAGGTGGTGAGGCCCCCCCACTCGCACCCACTGGCAGTCTTCAAGCAGCGTCTGGACAAACCCTTGATAGGGATTCTTTAGGCTGATCCCGCTTTGAGCAGTGGGCTGGACTAGATGGCCTTTGTGGACCCTTCCACTTCTTAGGATTCTAGGACCTCAAAGACTAGTGCATGTGTTGTGGCAGAAGCTTGTTTCTGTGGTGTCCCATGATGCTTGGTTGTTTGGGCGGCGGCAGCGGACATAACACACCACCGCTCCCCCAGCGGAAATTCATCCACAGAGATTAGCTTTCCCAGATGTTGGTTCAGGCAGCAATAACGAAGACTAATTGAATTGCCTCCGAACCAGGATCTTTCCCTGCCTGATCCCACACAACTCACAGTCTAAAATTTGGGGAAAGGGGGGGGGGGGGGGGAGACAAAAACCAGTGTTGAATTTCCCATTCCTACGCTGGTGTGAGCATTGCAGGAATCCGTTTCTCTTCATCCACTGTTCTCTCAGCTGGGGCATCCGCGCTCTCCAGAAGGGCAGAATTGCTTAATAGGGCACATCAGTCCCTGCTTGTGTGTGTGTGTGTGATGCAAATACATGTGCACACGCGTGGTTTGTGGCTCGCCTGGGACTCGTTTGCAGGAGACATGGGGAAAGATAATCATCGGAGCAGATCTTTCTCTCGCGGTCTGCAGAAGGCCACGCGCATCGCCCGGCAGGGCAATTACTTCTCGGGTTTTGGCTGCCGTGTATTGAACTGAACATGTGTAGGTTTTGACCAAGCAGGCAAATGTCAGGTAGCCCTGTCGTGGTGTTGGAATGGGAGGGGGGAGTTTATCTCCCTTCTGTTCTCAGCGCTTCTCTGCCTATAACGCTCCAGCTATCTGCACATTGGCCTTGCTTTGCTGTAATTCTCCAGGTCTGGGAACTGTAACTGCTTTAGGCGCAAAATTGCTTGCTTGCTGGCAGGGCCCGCGCACTGCAAGAAAGCTTTATTGGCTTCGCAGGTGGGGGGGGGCAGTTTGAATATGCTATAAGTTAGTAGCTATCTTATTATAGGGCATTCTTAGCACAGGCTGTTTACATGTACTTTAGTTCTGCGTTACCATAATAAACAGGGAGCTGCAGTGGCTCAAGTGGTTAAGATGCTGAACTGCAGGCTGTGGAAGGTCGGTTGTTCAGCAGTTCGAGCCCTGAGTGTGCCGCGTGCCGGAGTGAGCTCCCATCTCTAGTTCCAGCTCCTGCCAACCTAGCCGTTCGAAAGCAAGAAATTGCAAGTAGATAAATAGGTACCACTTCGGTTTGCAAGTAGATAAATAGGTACCACTTCGGTGGGAAGGTTCCGTGCGCCTTGGTGTTTAGTCATGCCGACCACATGACCACGGAAACGCCTTCGGACAGCGGCGGCTCTTCGGCTTGGAAACGGAGATGAGCACCGCAACCCTAGAGTCGGATTCGACTGGCTTTCGAGCAAGGGAACCTTGACCTTTTTACCATAATAAACACTTATCTTCTAAAGAAGCCTGGGTGTGTGGATTACCTGCCTAAAGTTCCTGACAGCAAATTGGAAGCAGCGCTCGAGAGCTTCCTGGGGTGGGTCAGGCTGAAGAGGAGGTAGCATTCAGGTTGCTAGTTGGGAAGGTGGCAGAAAATATGGGCGGGGATGTGCCAGAACACAGAGTCCCCTCCCCACCCTGACTACAGAGCAATGGGAAGCAACAGCTACCCGTGTCTCCTCCTTCCTCAACCCCTTTCCATCAACAATGGATATTTTTTCCTCTCAGACAATAAGCGTTGGCAGGGGTCATTTTGTAGAAAAAGAGCTAGGGGAACTCATTAGCATAACTCATTAGCATATGTCACACCCCCTGACATCAGGGGCCCGGCGGTGGATCTGCAAGGCCGGCGGGAGTGCGAGGAAGCCCCGCCAAGGCCCTCCCTGGCCCCAGGCAGGCAGGGGTGGGGAGAGGCGGGGAGGAAGCAACTTACCCTCCCTCTTCTCCTTCCTCCTCCTGGCTGAATGAGGGCTGGAAGCGGGGCAGCTGGAAGCAGGGGGCGGGGCTTCATCGTGTGCCCCGCCCCCCACACCTCACGTGGGGGAACTGCGTTCCCCCGCGTCCCCCCCCGAAATGACCCCTGAGCGTTGGAGTGCAAACACTTTAAATATTACCTCATTGGTTTTATGCACCACAACGGCTATTGCGAATCTTTGCATCATCCTCAGCTCTCTGTTGGAAGAAATGTGTGTCTTAGAGGTTAAGGCGCTGAGCTGCAGACAGGAAGGTCAATAGTTCAGCAGTTCAAGACCTGAGTGCCGGGTGACAGAGTGAGCTCTCGTCTCCGGCCCCAGCTCCTGCCAACCTAGCAGTTTGAAAGCAAGAAACTGCAAGTAGATAAATAGGCACCGCTTTGGTGGGAAGGTAACAGGGTTCCATGCGCCTCGGCATCTAGTCATGCCGCCCACATGACCACGGAAAGGTCTTTGGACAGCGCTGGCTCTTCGGCTTGGAAACGGAGATGAGCACCGCATCCGTAGAGTCAGATTGGTCAAGCTTTCGAGCAAGGGAAACCTTTAGGGACATATGCGCATTGTTGGTGGTAGTGTGAGGAAATTAAACAACTCTGGCAGATAGTATTGGACCGAATATTCCTTATCACTGGTTTTGTTGTCCCCTTTTCCCCAGAAGGACTGTTTTTGAATTATGGGCCAGAAGATGTCACAGTCCCACAAATTAGTAAAAGACTGATTTCAAACCTTCTAAGAGCAGAAAAAACATCAATAGCCGCTACCTGGAAATGTTCAGATATACCTACGCTCTCCCTATGGCACCGTAAGATAGGGGGAGATGTATATATTGGGGAAAAATATTTATTTATTTATCTGTCTGATTTATACCCGCTCTCCGCACTTTACAGCAGGCTCCATGGTGGCTTACACTAGTAAATACGATACAATTAAAATCACATAAAATCATCTAAAACAGTTCAACTATAAACAATCATAATTTATAAAGTGGTGCATAATCAATAGTTAGTTGTTATAAGATGGTGTATAGGAGTGTACACAGATATCACCATCATTCTGCTCAAAACCTTCCTGACAAACGGGCGGCGCAGGCTAGGTGTCGGGAACCAAGGGCCAGGGCAATAATTAAAGCTGTTAGCATGGTGGCAGCTCCTAATTAAAGGCCTGGCGGAAGAGCTCCATCTTGCAGGCCCTGCAGAACTGTAGAAGATCCCGCAGGGCCCTGATCTCTTCTGCGAGCTCATTCCACCAGTACGGAGCCGCCACCGAGAAGGCCCTGGCCCTGGTAGTAGCAAGCCTGGCATCTTTCAGGCCCGGGAAGGTCAGTCTGTTTTGCGACCCCGACCATAGTGCTCTCTGGGGTAAATATGGGTTAAGGCGGTTCCTCAGGTGAATCAATATGAATCCAGTCCTCCTCGTTCAGATTTTGTCGATGTGTGGCCTGTTATATTAGATTATTCATTTTGGATTGAAGTGGTTCCGAAAAACTTCAAATATTTAACTTCAGTATGATATTTGCGATGTATATAAGTTATAAGATCCGATGTGCAATATTGCTTCTTTTCCATAGGCTTTGCGTTTGAGCAATGTGTTATTCTGGTACTTTCAGTATAGTCCTCTGTTCGTTGGTTTATTTTAGGTACTTTGATTTGTTTGGTGAATGCTTGTAAATGTGTTGGTTTGTATTATGTATAAAATGTTAAATAATTTTTTTTAAAAAATGGGGAACAGACCATGAAGATGGAGAGGGGAAACTAGGCCAGGCCTATGACAGGTGTGCATAAAACTCTGACCTGTGATTTCCCATCTTGCAGGGTTAAAAATAGCACATGGACAGACCTGTTGTTGCAGCAGTGGGAACACAGGTTAGCTCAGTCTCCTTCCGGGCTACTCACCTGGGGACATTTTCGCTTCACCATAGGAGAGCTGACAGCCAGCACACTGTGATTACAAACTGAAACCATTTATGCTTCATGTGCTGTGAGCTCTATGCACAGTGAGGCACTCACAAAACATTTGTGTGTGCATCGCTCCCTCCAGCAAGGAAGAGAGTGAATCCAGGGACTCTAAGGGTTGGATTGGCTTCTTTCTTTGAAAGGCCTAGAGCAGGGGTGTCAAACATACGGCCCGGGGGCCAGATGAGGCCACTGGAGGGCTTCTATCAGGCCCGCAGTGGAACTAGCTGTCTTTTGCTTCTTCTTCCAGTTCTGCTGCTGCTGTGTCATTGTAGGTTTGGAGCTTACAGATACGCACCTGAACAGCACACTCAAGATTGCGACAGCACGGACATTCTGATGCAATAATTCAGAGCAGGAGGTGTCAGTTATCAGACACTGTTAAATAAACAAAATCCTGCAAGAGAGCTAGTGGTTTAAGCATGTTTTTATTTTAAGTAAGAAAAACCCTTTGTGTTTGTGTCCTTTATAAAGTTTATATCTATGCTACCTGGCATTACATTTTATGACACACATGGCCCGGCCCAACAAGGTCTCATTTATGTCAGATTCGGCCCTCGTAACAAATGAGTTCGACACCCCTGGCCTAGAGGATACTTGTGCATGTATTGGCATTTCCGCACCTGCTAAATTCCGGAGGTGTCTGCCCCATTACTGACTCTCTCTCTCCCTTTTCCCCTTCCTCTCTTGTTTTGCAGAGTTTTTAAGAAGGCCAGTCCCAACGGGAAGGTGAGTTGAATTTCTCCGTCGATTCTACTGAATTTCTTTGGCAGGAGCAGACGTCGGAAGGCAGAAAATTGAGTGGGAGAATCGACCGACTTGCAGTATTGATGTGGCTGTCGGGGCCGAATGCAGCTCGGTGCTTTAAACACACGGCCTGCCTCCGTCCTCTCTTTTGGGCTGGCTCGGCCTGTTTGGGAGGTCCATAGCTCCAAGGGGGACTTTGCATGCAGTAAGTTCTAGGCTCGGCCCTCAACACCTCTGGCTGCAAGGATCGTAGCGGGAAGAGCTGAGAAGGGGGGGGGAAGAGTGAGGAAAGAGAATTCCAAGTAGAAACGCGAGACTGGAGTCCTGCAGCACCTTAAAGACCAACAAGATATTCGGGGTATAGGCTTTCAAGAATCAAAACTCTCTTATTTTGTTCCAGTATTTTGTTCCCAGACACTGAAAGGCTGGACAACACTTCCAATTACTATGTCACAGGGAAGCCATTGAAATTCATAAACACAAACACAATTTCAACAGGAAAGAAGAAAGTTTAAAAATAAATAGGGCATGGTTTCCTGTCCTGAAAAACACAAAAGGCTCTACAACTGACAATAGCACTACAGATAAGATTAGAATTTCAGCAGCCAATCCACATGCAAATGAACCTCCTCAGGAAACAGGAAACCTCCTCAGGAAACCATCCCTATACAAAAGAACCTCCTCAGGAAAGCTCCTCCATTAGCATGTTTCACAGTCTGGGCAAATCCTACAAGATAATGACTCAGCCCTACCCCACCTTCCTGAGTAGATATAAATTACCTGCCTACTATTTTTCTTCAAACCTTGACACAGAGAGTACTCCATCTTTCTGTGTTATACCTCTGGGGATGCCAGTCACAGCTGCTGGTGAAACGTCAGGTCCTACAATGCCAAGAAACACGGCCAGACAACCCGGAAAATCTACAGTTTGGTGTAGTGGTTAAGTGTGTGGACTCTAATCTGGGAGGACCGGGTTTGATTCCCCACTCCTCCACTTGCACCTGTTGATGTGACCTTGGGTCAGTCACAAGCTCTGGCACAGCTGTCCTTGAAAAAGAGCAGTTTGTGTCAGAGCTCTCTCAGCCCCACCCACCTGTTGGATCCCCAAGCATCGAGAATAAATCCACGTTTTCAAGAAAAGCAAAATTTATTTCAAAGCGTTGAAGACATACTCAAACACGTTCTTTGTTAGAACTGGGGATACACCGTTAGGTCAAGCATAATAAAGGAAATTCAAACAGATACAGATCCAATGAATAGCATTCCCGCTGGCGGGCTAATGAAACGGTTGCGCGCCCAGTCCATGGGAACCAGGCAGAACATCAGACAAAACACAGGTGCAGTACTCATGAGAAAAGCAATAGGCAAGCATTACAGCATCTTCTCCCCCACACAACCTCCAGCAGTTATCTTGTGCATTCCAACGCAGGAGCAGGATGATAGAAAATAAGCCGGGTGCAACAGGGAAAGGATATGTACACAGAGGTCACAGAAAACAGAATGGCAGCTTGCTGACACCACCTCACAGGGTGTCTGTTGTGGGGAGGGGAAGGGAAAGGAGTTTGTAAACCGCTCGGAGACTCCAAGTGAAGGGCGGGGTATAAATCCAATCTCTTCTTCTTCTTCTACAACAGCTAAAAAGCTCTCATCGTCAGATACAAGTTAGAATGAAGACTCCTGCGCCTTTATATCTGCGTCTGAAGGTGGGAGGGGAATTGCAAAGAAGGGAGTCAGGATGCAGAGGACGTATCCGGTATTGTACCTCTGCATCCTGATTCCCTTCTTTGCCGCTCCCCTCCCATCCTCTGCCTAGGACAGGGGTGGTCAAACTGCAGCTCGGGAGCCGCGTGCGGCTCTTTCACACAGTCTAATTTAATGTTAATAAAAAGCCAATTTGCAAATTTGTCAATAAAAACGTGTGTGTGATATTTGTTCCATGCCTTGCGGCTCTCAGACATCTGACGTTTATTCTGTGTAGCGGCTACGTTAAGCAGGTTTGGCCACCCCTGGCCTACGATATAAAGGCTCTGGGATCTCCCGACTTGTATCTGATGAAGGGAGCTTCGACTCTCAAAAGCTCATACTGTGAAACTCTTGTCGATCTCTAAGGTGCTGCTGGACTCCAGTCTTGCTCTCCTACCGCAGACCAACATGGCTGCCTACCTGAAACTTCTCAGTAGGGTGGATTTCCAGGATCCAACCTGGTAACGAGACAGGCAGACCAACAGCCTGAGTCAAGAGAGCTGCCTGGCTCATGGGTCTGTGGGGAGGGGCCGTGGCTCAGTGGCAGAGCCTCTGCTTGGCACGCAGAAGGTCCCAGGTTCAATCCCCGGCACCTCCAGTTAAAAGGATCAGGCAGTGGGTGATGAGAAAGACCTCCACCTGAGAGAGTCATGCAGAAAAGCCGTGGCTCAGTGGCAGAGCCTCTGCTTGGCACGCAGAAGGTCCCAGGTTCAATCCCCGGCACCGCCAGTTGAAAGGACCAGGCAGTGGGTGATGGGAAAGACCTCCACCTGAGACCCTGGAGAGTCATGGAGAAAAGCCGTGGCTCAGTGGAAGAGCCTCTACATGGCATGCAGAAAGTCCCCAGTTCAATTCCCGGCATCTCCAGTTAAAAGGGCCAGGCAGGTGATGGGAAAGACCTCAGTGGCAGAGCATCTGCCTGGAATGCAGAAGGAGCTACATATCGTAGTTGTATCTATAGGTGGCTTGTTAAATTAGCATGCAAAATAGAATATTTTTTAAAACAGATCAAAAGAATGACAAAAGCACTCTCACTGTTTTGCCTGCTAATTTAACGAGCCACCTATCGATACAACTATGAATGACAAAATACAACTATGAATGACAACTATGATACAACTATGAATGACAAAAGAATGACAAAAGCACTCTCACTATTTTGCCTGCTAATTTAACAAGCCACCTATCGATACAACTATGATATGTAATCCCATATTTAGTTGTTTATATTTTTATAGCCCAGCTTTCTCACAGGGATTCAAGGCGGAGAGCCAGTTTGGTGTAGTGGTTAGGAGCCAGTCACTAATCTGGGAGAACCGGGTTTGATTCCCCACTGCTCCACAGGCAGCTGCTGGTGTGACCTTGGGTCAGTCACAAGTTTATTCAGAGCTGTTCTCTCAGGAGTTCTGGAAAGCGCTCTCTCAGCCCCACCTACCTCATAATCTGTTCTGTTCGGGGGAGAGAAAGGGAAAGGAGACTGCCGGCCGCTCTGAGACTCCTTCGGGTAGTGAAGGGTGGCGTAGAAATCCAATCTCTTCTTCTCCTCTTCAATTCCTACAGGGAAGCAGATCTCTGTCAGGTCTGGAGATGAGTTGCCATTCTGGGAGAACTCCGCGTGTCTCTCTCCTTGAGGCTGGTAACCCTCATGTTACCCCACGATAATGTGTACAGAATTCATTCAGCTACATGAAACACCCCGGGGGCGCTTTCAGGCATGCTAAATAATGCAGTTTGCATCCACTTCAGCGACCATTTGCAAGTGGGTTTTGCCATTTCACACAGTAAAATCCAGCTGCAAAGTTCATTGAAAGGGTATTGAAAGTGTGTTCTTCCCCTGACCTGGAAAGGCCAGGCAAGCCCGATCTCATCAGATCCTGGAAGCCAGTTTGGTGTCGTGGTGAAGTTCGCGGATTCTAATCTGGGACAACCGGGTCTGATTCCCCACTCCTCCACTTGCAGCTGCTGGGTGACCTTGGGCAAGCCGTAGTTCTGTTCTTGAAAAAGAGCAGTTTCTGTCAAGAGCTATCTCAGCCCCATCTGCCTCACAGAGTGTCTGTTTTGGGAAGGGGAAGGGAAAGGAGTTTGTAAGACACTCTGAGACTCCCTTGGGGAGTGAAGGGCGGGGTAGAAATCCAATCTCCTCTTCCTCCTCTTCTTCTTCTTGCTCTGTCAGCCCCGCCTACCTCACAGGGTGCCTGTTGTGGGGAGGGGAAGGGAAAGGAGTTTGTGAGCCGCTCTGAGACACCTTTGGGTAGTGAAGGGCCGGGTATAAATCCAGTCTCCTCCTCCTCCTCTTCTTCTTCTTCTTCGCAGGGCCAACCTGGGCAAGTACTTGTATGAGAGACCTCGAAGGAATACCAGGGCCAGGACGCAGAGGCGGGCAATAGCAAGCTGCCTCTCCGAACATCTCTTGCCTCCAAACCCTATTATGGGTTGCCAGAAGTCAGCCAGTTTTCAAGAAGAGGCTGGATGAATATTTGTGAGAGATGCTTTAGGCTGGTCCTGCATTGGGCAAGGGGGTTGGACTAGATGGTCTGTATGGCCCCTTCCGACTCTATGATTCTATGCACACACACACACAAACTACCAAAAAAGAAGTAGAAAGTGCATTATGAAGAAGAAGGAAGAGATTGGATTTATACCCCGCCCTTCACTTGGAGTCTCAGAGCGGCCTGTGAGGTAGGTGGGGCTGAGAGAGCTCTTGACAGAAACTGCTCTTTTCCAAGAACAGCTCTTATCAGAACTATGGATTGCCCAAGGTCATCCAGCAGCTGCGAGTGGAGGAGTGGGGAATCAAACCCGGTTCTCCCAGATTAGAGTCCATGCTCCTAAGCACTGCACCAAAGAGGAGATCGGATTTATACCCCGCCCTTCAGTACTCAAAGGTGTCTCAGAGCCAGTTTGGTGTAATGGTTAAGTGTGCGGACTCTAATCTGGGAGAACCGGGTTTGATTCCTCACTCCTCCACTTGCACCTGGATGGATGACCTTGGGGAAGCCGTAGTTCTGACAAGAGCTGTCCTTGAAAAAGAGCCGTTTCTGTCAGAGCTCTCTCAGCCCCACCTACCTCACAGGCAGTGTTCCCTCTAAGCTGAGTTAGCGTGAGCTAGCTCACAGGTTTTTAGCCTCCGGCTCACACATTTTCGTCTTAGCTCAGGAAGGCTGGGCTCCAGAGCAAACTAATTTATGCAGTAGCCAAATCGCTTGCTCACAGCTTTAATTCCAGTAGCTCACCAAGTA